CTCGAGAATCGTTTTATAAAACTCGAGAATCGTTTTATAAAACTCGAGAATCGTTTTATAAAACTCGAGAATCGTTCTATAAAACTCGAGGATCATTTTATAAAACTCGAGAATCGTTTTATAAAACTCGAGAATCGTTTTATAAAACTCGAGAGTCGTTTTATAAAACTCGAGAAATCGCTTTATAAAACTCGAGAAATCGCTTTATAAAACTCGAGAAACCGTTTTATAAAACTCGAGAATCGTTTTATAAAACTCGAGAAACCGTTTTATAAAACTCGAGAAACCGTTTTATAAAACTCGAGAATCGTTTTATAAAACTCGAGAATCGCTTTATAAAACTCGAGAAACCGTTTTATAAAACTCGAGAATCGTTCTATAAAACTCGAGAATCGTTTTATAAAACTCGAGAAATCATTTTTATAAAACTCAAAAGTCGTTTTATGAAATCCGAAGATCGTTTTATAAAACTCGAGAATCGTTTTACAAAACCGCAAAAAACCGAAAAAGCCGTAAAACGCGAACTAGTCGCAACTAGTTCGCCCATCGGCGACCTAAGCCGGACCCGGCTTAGTTCGCCGATGGGCGAACTAAGAAACACTCTCTAGTACACCCATCGGCGAACTAAGCCGGGCCCGGCTTAGTTCGTCGATGGGCGTACTAAGAGTCACTCTTTAGTACGCCGATGGGCGAACTAGACACGTCCCGGACACTCCGCGTCTCGATTTCCCGTATTCCCGATTCGAAACTTACCTCTTTCGACAAGGTCGCATTCTAAACCATGGCCGAAATATCTCTCGTTCCATCTCGATCCGACTTACTGTTCGAGTTTTACGATAAAAACCATAAAACTTCGTTTTCTCGGAAAGAACTCGAGGAAATCGTATAAAACGGCAACGGTTAAACGAAACACCAAACATTGCCTAAACTATACGATTTATTCGAGATTTCTCGTTAAAATCATAAAAACGCCGAGTAAGTCGTAAAAAACGTGTTTTTAATAAAAAGTCGAGTAAATCGTAAAACTTTGCGATTAACTCGAGAAATTTATTAAAAACGACGTCAGATCAGGAAACGATCCCGTAAAAAGTCGGAAAACGGTTTTTTTCGCAAAACGGCCCGGAAGGACCTAAAACGCGATAAAAACCCATCTCGCGATTTTAACGGAATCTAACCCGCAGATTTGATAACGTTTTGACGGTTTACTCGCAGAAAGAAAATAAAAGTCAAGTTTAAACATAAAAGGAAGGTTTGAAGAGAAATAGAAGATTTCCGCAGAAGAAAGGGAAGGATCGAGAAGAATGGANTCTGGGCGAAATGGAAAGATCGGATAGCCAAGACGAGGAGTATATAAAGAGGAGGTCTAGGGCAGAAGCACACACACGAAATTCAGAGCTCTCACCACCAAAACTAGCATTTAGGAATATTTCCGTTTTTCTGTTAGCGAGCTGCGTCTCAATTAGGGTTTTCTAGTTCTTACGCTTTCGGCAATTCTTTTTGTACCAGATCTACGCAGATTCGGAATAAGAACCTCTTTGCTCTCTGTTTTTCGTTTATTCTCATTTAAATTCTAAGTTATCGTTTTCTTATTTTCGTTGTGCGGTTCTCGCAGATAACCGGTTCCTTTGGAAACTTAGGGTTTTCCCGAAGTTTCCTTATTTACGATTTATTTGACAATAGGGTGAAATCGACTCCCACAAGTTTCAATGTCAGCAATAACAACTTCAGAGGTCCAAACCCTTCATTCATTTGCATGTTTTCACCGCAGCTCAGTGAATTGGATATCTCTTATAATGATTTTAGTGGCCATCTCTCTCAAGGATTAGGCAGATGTCTGAGGCTAAGTGTTCTACGAGCAGGCTTCAACAATATCTCCAGTGAGATCCCAGGTGACATCTACAACCTTTCAGAGCTTGAGCAACTTTTTCTACCAGCCAATAAGCTTACTGGTAAAATTGATAATAACATCACCCGGCTCAAGAAACTAACCTCCCTTGAGCTTTACTTCAATCACCTAGAAGGAGAGATACCAATGGACAGAGGTCTTGTCTCCAGCCTGAGAAGCCTCCAACTCCATAATAACAACATCACTGGTACAGTTCCACTTTCTCTAGCAAATTGTACAAATCTCATCAAGCTGAACTTAAGGATCAATCGTCTGGGAGGGAGCTTAAGAGAGTTTGAGTTTTCTCAGTTGCAGAGTCTTCAGGTTTTGGATCTTGGAAACAATAAATTCACTGGCGAAAGGCAACTGGTATCGGTCAAACCAACGGAACCAAATACTCGGATTAATAAAATTAGATCTTTCTCTCTCTCTTTCACACACACACACACACACACACACACACACTTTCTCTCTCCAATGGTGGCGACAAAATTAAGCAGAGACCAGTACGTGGCAAAGCTCGCCCAGGAAGCGGAGCGTTACGAGGACATGGTACACTTAATTACGGAGCAATTCTTCACAGACGCCACTCCAACAAAGGAGCTTACGGTGGAAGAGCGAAACCTCCTTCAATCGTGCCCAAGAACGTGATCGGAAGCCTCCTGGAGGATGTATTCTCAGTAGAGCACAAAGAGGAAAGCTGTTTAGGGTTAGTTTAGTCATTGTAATTTCACGGTATTAATGAAAATGTCCCTCTACTAAAGGTAAAGTTGAATAGTGGTACTATAGAATGTGTAAATTTGAAATTTTCCCTACAATTTTCAAGTTTATTATTTTTAAAAAGTATAATTACTATCAAAGTTTTTTAAAGTTATATTTTCTTTATGATTTTGGAAAAGTAAAAGGGAAATTGTGACTAATACCACTTTCCTCATACCACATTTCATTTATACCTTAATCAACTTTACCATTTTAATTTTAATAGGTAAAGTACTATTGTATCCCTAATTAATTAAAAGGTGAAATTCAATTCGACGATTCTGATATCTCTCTCGATAAGAAAGCCACCACCATCATCTCCATCTCCTCCTCCCTCTGTTTCGCCTCCTTCAGCGAGGAAATCAAGTTTCCCTTTTATCAAAAGAACTGGTTCATCGCTCTCCTCTTTGCGATGGCTGTCGGATTCTTCTGTCTCGCTCTCTTCCTCTTCCTCAGTGTCGATTCGGATTCCGGCTACACGTCTGCTTCCGCCGCCGAAGGCGTTGAGGTGTGTTATACATTGTATCGATCAGGTGCTCTTTTTGATTTAGATTCAGAATTGGGATTTTTAATGTCTTTGGTGGTTGTGATGGTGTGTGATAGATAACATATGGAAGTGAGATTAAGGTGATGCACGAGAAGACCAAGCTTCGTCTGCATTCTCCGAACGGATCCGGCAGTGGTCAGCAATCAGTCACTGGTTTTCCAGGCGTCGTTGATTCCAACAGCTACTGGGTACTTCCTTTGCTCCTTTACTACTATACAGAAGATCATTTAAGTTTTTGTGTCTTTGGATAGAAGTTAGAACAACACATTAACTTGAAATTTGATATCTGAAGTTATGGTTTAATGAGTAATGATGGATGGAGTAATGGAGCTAACTCCTTTTTTTGGTAGATTGTTAAACCTGTGCCTGAGACAACAGCCAAGCAAGTTGACACCGTCGTGGGCGGAGCTACCGTTAGATTGCAGCTCATGAAGACCCGGAAATGGCTACACAGTCACCTGCATGCTTCCCCTATTACAGGCAACTTAGAGGTTATTAGTATTCGCTTAGGGCATCAAAGGTAAAGAGATCGAAGTACTTAACTCTCTTTATCATAAGATAACAAAGTCTTTGGGAGGAGGGAGGTGACAAGATTGTTTTGAATAAACCTTCCATGTGTTGATGTGTTTGCAGATGGATGCTCTTATTTCACACAGTTCGAAGAGTTCATATGCTTGTGTTGGTTTTATATATTATTTATAATCCTTATAGACTGGTTTTATAAACTCTTATAAATTGGAAGGGACTGGTGTTTCAGTGATGATTATTTTGATAACATGGTTAGTCTTTGTTCACTGTTCTCTCTTTGTGTTTGTTGTATCTTTTTGAGTCTTGTTGAGCATTTGGTGATATGTATACAGATTGTGTTCTCTGAGTCATGGTGGATTGGGACTAAAGAGGAGAACCCTGATGAAGCCCGTCTTGATTTCCCTAAAGAACTCTCTCAGGTTGTTGTTATGTTTTTACCTGATTTGTGTTTTCTCTGGTCTGATTTGCTATAAGATAAGAGAACCTTTTGGTTTCAGGCAGAGAAAACTGAAGAGTTTGATTTCCGAGGCGGGGCAGGATCAGCAGCAGCAGCTTCGGTTAAGACGGCTGCGACTCCTGAAACTGGGAACCAGCCAACGGAGACAGAGACAGACTCACCTGAAGTTGGAATGGAGGAGATTTTGTCTGATGATGAAGAGTTTATGGACGATAAGGTTCAGGTGACACCAGTTCAAGTAACTCCGGTTCGTCAGTCTCAGAGAAATTCTGGCAAGAAGTTCAAGTAATCATCCTTACTATTTAAACACACACTCTTTATAGCTTTTTGACTTTGACATAGAAGAAGTATGTGCAGTGGACTTGATGAGTTATTAGGTTTCTTTAGGGGAATCACTTGATGTTAATTTGATGTGTAACCATCTCTATGATGCTTGTGTAGTTTTCTTTGTCTTTCTATCATTTGTTGTTTATACATTTGCCTCTCTGTGACTTCTGTGTTTTTTGGTTTTCCTTTGTTAGATCTTTAGTTTTCTTTGTTGAGCGATCTAAGTAGTATCAGGTTTAACCGCCTATATATGAACTATTTCCACAGCTTTGCAGAAACCTCTCCAGAAAACTCCTCAGGTGAAAGTGAAGGCAATACATCTGAGGAAGGGGAAGAGAAACCTGTGTTGGAATCTGATTCTTCAACAAGAGTTCGTGAGGAACCTCAAGCTGATATTAATACTGCATCAGCAGGCAAGTTGCTCACCAAACTTCCGGCTAAAAAGGAAAAATCAAACAGAAAATACGGTAAGCTCGTTCAAGCTACAGTAGCCAAACTATTCAAGAAAGCAGAGCAGAAAACAGCTGGTCCTTCAAAGAATAAATCATCATCAAAGACCTAGGTTTTGTATATTATACAAGACCAAGAGGTCTGTTGTTTCTTTTGCTGTGATAATGAACAGTTTCTAGCTCTTTTAGTTATGTTGTGTAAGAAATATTGCTACAAGACTGATGATTATGTTGCAGAAATAACAGGAATGTGATTTCATCTAGCTTATTAATAGTATGTGTTCGCCAAGTTATGTATACAGCATGTTTGTTCAATTTGATACAACAGTTTCTCATCTATCTATACGAATGACCAAAGGCATTATACCTTTCATCATTGTTTTTCATCTCAACAGATTCATCTCACTAAACTTTAGAAAAAAGGACTAAGAGGATCCTTTTATAGAGAAGCTTTCTATGGGGTTTTGGGATCTTTTTTGGATCAAATCATTCCTTGGACTTCCTTGTTTAGCTTAATCACTAGAGCTTGATATTAATAGGATCATATGTGGTAATAGCATGGTTGTCATGGAATTTTGACGAAACTGGAACTTTTTAGATGGTTATAGTATTATATATGTAGTGGAACGAGACAGAATACTGAGCCAAGGCAGAAGAATGCTGAGCCTGTTCATAAGTGTTCTGTAAGTTACTTACATCTTCCTGTGTATTTCATTATTTATCACTGTTTAGTGCAGTGCTATATGCTATGTTACCATCATCTGAACATTTGATTTTCTCTTCGTATGCAGTATTGGACAGAGAGCTATGTGCAGTGGTCTCCTCTTGGTACGTACCTTGTGACACTTCACAAGCAGGGTGCAGCTGTTTGGGGTGGTGCTGATACCTTCTTGGTGATCTACCAAACAAATGTATTTACATTTTCTTGGTGATAAGTTTTTGTCTTTTTTTTTTATTGTTTTTGAAATTTTTATACGCTATATAACAAGTGAATTGTCTCGGATGTGATGATCTACAAGTAGAAGAGCCTCTAAACTATTTATAAACTTTTTATAAATTCTTATAAAGCCTTTATAATTTCTTATAAACCTTTTATATAAACTCTTCACACCCATTATAAACATTTTATAAAGCCTTATAAATCTTATATAAACTTATTATAAACATATAAACCCTTATAAACCTATATAAAACCTTATAATTAATTTATAAAACCTTATAGATTCTATATAAAATCTATGATTATAAATGACTTATACAATGATTATCAACTAATTTAGAAAGGCTTATAAACTTATTTATAAAAAATATAACAAATTATAAATGGCTTATAAATAATATTATAACAGATGACAAGGAGAAACAGAGTCAGCATGATGTCAAGCGCAAAATCAATTCACAGGTTGCTAGCAGACAGTTGAATTCAAGAAGTGCTAGTGGAAGTAATGTTAAGAAGACTACCTTATAAATCAGTTCATACATTCTTGTAAATCAAAATAAAATAACTTATAAATCAGTTTATAAAATTTCATAAATCAGTTTTCTGAACCCTTATAAACCTTTATAAATAACATATAAGCTTTTATATATAATATATTAACTCTTATAATATTAGATATTTTATAAATGTTTTATAAACCCTTATAATTTGTTTATAAACACTTATAAATGACTTTTTAAACCATATGAACAATTTATAAATCCTTATAAAATGACTTTATATATTCTCTTATAAGAGTTTTTATATCTATTTCATAAAACTTGTCAACATTATATAAGCTTTTATTAATTTTCTGATATTCTAAGAAGAGAATGCTTTTTGATATTGTAAAACAATGTGTTAATAGGATGCGTTGGGACCGTTTACGAGTCGAAGAACATTATGAACAATTTATAAATCCTTATAAAATGACTTTATATATTCTCTTATAAGAGTTCTTATATCTATTTCATAAAACTTGTCAACATTATATAAGATTCTATTAATTTTCTGATATTCTAAGAAGAGCATGCTTTTTGATATTCTAAAACAGTGTGTGAATAGGATGCGTTGAGATCGTATACGAGTCGAAGAACATTAGAAGTACATTGAGTAAATCTATTTATAAATGATTTATAAAATCTTCTAAATGAAAACTCTTATAAATTGTTTTATGAAGATTATTAAACTCTTTTAATATTTTATTTTGTATAAATCCTTATAAATGGATTTATAAACCTTCTAAATAGATTTATAAACTCTTATAAATGTGTGATAAGTTCTTGTACATGGTTTTATAAACCCTTGTAAATAGTTTTATAAACCTTTATAAATAGTTTATAAATATTTATAAGTCTTTTATCAACTTCTTAAACGGTTCATACAAGGTTTTATAAACTCATATAAACACACATAAATATTTTTATTAATCATTTTAGATATTTTGTTCTTGCAAACACAAATAATCCAAATAATTTAATAACTTGTTTTATAAGCCTTCATAAATGGTATGGACTTACAAATAGTTTTACATATCTTTATAAATTGTTTTATAAACCTTTATAAAGTTGTATAATCTTTATAAATTGTTTTTATTAACATTTATAAATTATCTACATATCCTTATAAACCCTTATAAATTATCATACAAACCATTATTTAGGTGTCATTATAAGTTTTTCCTTGTTCTAACATCTTTCAAGAGACCGGCTCTGCATAAAAGAAAAAAAATCATTATTTATAAGCTTTTGATAACCTTCTTATAAACATTTATAAATGGTTTATAGATTTAATAACTTGTTTTATAAGCCTTTATAAATGGTATAGACTTACAAATAATTTTACATGTCTTTATAAAATGTTTTATAAACCTTTATAAAAGTATATAATCTTTATAAATTGTTTTTATAAACATTTATAAATTATCTACATACCTTTATAAACCATTATAAATTATCATACAAACAATTATCTCCTTCCTGACAGGGCAACTAAAACATGATTCAGGTTTTTCTGACATCTACCTTGACCATGCAGAATTGATTAAACAAGAGTTGCCATCATCCTCATCATTATCGCATATTAGACAACTCATATATGCTTGAGGCTATAATAACAATACAAACAGTTACAATACATCGTATTTTCAAAACTAATTGATTTAGAGACCAGGCATGACGGTACACGTTCGTCTTCAACGAGGATACACATCTGTGATCAAGGCATCATCAATAGACCCTACGAGAGATTGGGTTGTTGTATATTGGGCTGAATCAAGCGGATCTTTTTATTTTTCTGTCTACTTGGAAAGTAAAGACCTGGTTGCCTAGGCACAGGTAATCAAGCTGCAGCGACTCTGCTGTTGTTATATCATCTCCTGTTCAACAATGCAAATTTTAAGAGCTAGGGATTGAAACTAATAAAAAATCAAACCCAAAAAGGACTGTTGATCACTTAGAAATATTTACCATCAAATGCAGATGTTTTGTGGTAAGTCTTCTCTGCCCTCTTTGCAAGGAAACAATAACCAGCTATGAAAAGCAGAACAGCGACTATAATAGGCACAACAATAGCTACCACCAACACACTTGAGTTCCCACCTTTCCCTCCTATTACATACAAACACCATTTGCTTATGTCAAAAGAACAGAAACATCAAGGAACGGCACAGGTATACATATAACAAGTGGAAGTTCTGTCAAAAGGACAAAACTTTCTATATATGGATTGCTAATTTCAAGATTTACATGGAAACAACAAGAAGAAAAACACAATCACAAAGACCACAAAAGATTTAAAAGTTTGTCATCAGATTTGGTGTTTCCCTTCGAAGGTTTCTAGACAATTGGAGGATACTGCTTGGACTGCAGCTTAACCCTTTTCTTGTACTCAACTACATCCTGCATATTATTCATCCAAATTGAATCCTATCAGAATAAAGTTCGCAATCAAATTGGTTTCTATGTTTCACTAACTATATGCCATAATGAGAGAGTGTACGTGAATGAAGAGATGATAACAATCAGTCTGTGCAGGGTCAGCGGGATTAGGTGTGTCAAGTAAATCTTGAATACCGACAAGAATCTGCTTCACTGTGATGGCTGGTCTCCACCCCTATCAACATAACCATATCAACAGAGAACTTAGGATGATGATTTGGTCATGGAGAAATGAAAAGAAAAGAGTACTTACTGAATCTTCGTTAAGGATGGAAAGACAGACTGTCCCTGATGGATAGACATTAGGGTGGAAAAAGCCTGGTGGGAATTTGCATTTGGGAGGCTTGCTCGGATAGTCCTCGCTGAAGTGCATCGTTAAGGGAAAGAATCCACCTTCCCAATCAGTCTGCAGTGTCAAGTACATTCACTATGAAAAGATGGTACAAGAATGACAGTAGCAGTTACTATTATTAACCATGTTGCAGATATACAGAAAACCAATTATACCTCAAATCAAGAACGTTAGATAGACAACAAAGTTCAGACTGTTCATTTTCTAGACCAAAATTTATAAGCACGAAATCCAGGACATCACAAGTAAAGATAAACAGTGAGGTTAGAGCTACAACCATTCACTTTCACAATCAGTCTGCAGTGTCGTGTTAACTTAGCTATGTTACAATACTAAAAGAATGATTATGTCGAAAAGCCAAGTAAGATGCACATCAGAGCTCAAATTCTATGACATCTTCAAGAACACATTTTTGATACACCAGTTCAGAACATCAAGAGACAAGAGTAAAGAAAAAACAAAACTTTCGCCTGATAAGCATTTACAAAAACATAATCTTCCATTCTTTAATGTTATAAGCAAATGAATAAACAATTTAAGAGAAACAAACATGAATCAAACAGAATAAAGAGAAGAGCTTAGCTATGCATAATACTAAAAGAATGATAAGCACTGAACCAGTTCCAAAAGCTAAGCAGAGTTCAAAATTTAGGACATCTTCACAAACATTTTTAAACACCAGTTTAGAACATCAAAAGTAAAGAAAACAATTCTTTCTCCTAACCATATACACACAAACAAACAAAAGAAAGCAAATCAATCTTTCAAATTTTCTAAGCTAAAGCAAAAGAATAAACCACATAGAAGAAACAAACAACAATTACATAGAAGAAAGGGAAGACC